GATTTTTCATTAGTTTGGAGGAAAACCACGATATTGCTGGACTGAATTTGGCTTAGAAAAAGAACAAAAACTGAAATCTGGTACCTTAGCTTAGGCGTTATGACAATTTGTAATAGTACCACAAATCCACTGACATGGTGTGGTAGAAGAGCTAGATAAGGCAGACCAGGATGTTGGAAGAGACTTGCGTAAATATCCTTTCAAATTGTTCTGCAAAGCTACTTCAGAGAAACTGTGAAGTGTGATACCATGGATAACAACTTTTGTGAAGCATTCAATAACACTTTGCTAAAATGTAAAAAGAAGCCCCATATACCAATGTAAGAGGATATTAGCGTGGCAGCGATGAAGAGAATAGCCAAGAAGAGAAAGTATGTGACCAAATGGGCAGGTAAATAATCTGATTTTACATTGAATTTGTTATAGGGTAATTATTACTTCAATAATTATTGTCATCACTTATAAATCGATGTTGGGGAAGTATAAGTCTATCATAATGAAGAAACTAAACAAGATTATCGCGAGTCAAGATTGACATGTATATTTTAATGGGGACGATAGTTATGAGATTAAGAAGGGTCGGCGGTAGTTTAAAGTAAGCATTCATGGAAGGTATTGCTCATGCAGAAAATGCAGGCTTTGTAGACTACTGCTACTTGAATGAGATGTGCCAAACGTCCTATGCATATACTTCGCAGCAGGCCCGGTTCTGGAGGAAGGGCAAGGGGGCACATGCCCAGGGCCCATCCTTCGTATAGGGCCCATAATTTTATATGTTTTATTATAATATATAATACTCCGTAAAATTTTATATGTTAAATATTACTTGTACTACGTAAGTCCGCTAAAATTTAGCGATCAGCGTATCCACTTAATTGCAAGGCTTTTGGCCGACATGAGAAGTGATAAGTCCATTTTTGTACTTACTTTTATTATCAAATTTAAGCGATTTTTGGAGTGAAAATATAAAAACAAGGCTTGTTTTATATATTTCGGTTCAAGTTTCATGAATTCAGGTAAAAATCACATTCATAACATGTTTGGCGAAATTTCGAGTCAATTGCGTGAAGAAAGTGACATTTTTTGCCAACAAATGAATTGCTAAGGAAGTTTGCAAGATATGTTGACCAATTGTTCAATGAGAAGAGTCCAAGAGAGGAAGAAACCATGCAAGGAAGCTCAAAAACCAAGAAGGGGTCGCCTATATGGCCACTTATGATGAAAATGGACGATGCATAAAGACACATGTTCGTATTTTGATCATAACATGGCGCATGATTACCCAAAGTTTTTGATACCAGTTGCATTACATTGACATCTTCTTTATATACAACTCTTATGAAGAACACATAACCAAATAACAATCGTAGAATGGACATATTGCTCAAAGAAGTCAGACATTTGCAGTTGCGATTGAAAGTGACACGTGCTCACCGTATTGGTCATATCTCATAAACTACAAATCCAGTGCATGTAATTCAAATTCCAGTAGTTATCCAAGAAAGAGATATACAACTTTGATAAAGACAACTTTTCCATTTGACGTGAGGCGGTCGATAAGGCGGCCGCCTCTCTGGGCGCCTACGAGTTTTTGACAATTTCAGCACACATCACTTTGAATGGCGACAAAATAATGGAAGGCTGCCGACAGGGGACGGAGGGCGGCCGCCCTCAGTGGCTACCTGCGGCGGGATGTGATTTTTGAGCTGCCGGTCGCTGAGACAAGACGGGAGGCGGCCAAAAGGGCGGCCGCCCTCCATGGGCGCCTGCGGCGGATTTGACGCGTACACGTAGCTTTGTCGGGGAAGTGACCGAAGGCTGCCGACCATTGCCGGAGGGCGGCCGCCCTTCTGTACGCCTTCCACAAAACTCCGGCTAAACAAGCTCTCTTCCATCCCCAACTCAAAACACACCATCTCACACCCAACTCAGATAAAAAAGGGTGTCTACTTCCTCCTCAAAGCTCGGATTTCCACCATTGTTAGACCTTCAACTTTAATCTTTGATATTTTTCCCATTTTTGCTCTAATTTATAAGTTCTTTATATGAAAATTCATCTTCTCGTCGTGTAGATTCTGAATATGTTTTTTTTATTTTCAAAATTTTGGTGAAACATTCACTGCATTAAATTTAAGAATTTCTCATTTTCCATATTTATTCAAGAAAAATAGTTCTTGTTGTTATATTAATCTCCTACTTCGATAAACTCAATACCTAGTATAAATGATGTTTATTTGTGAGAGAAACAAAATTTTAGATGTTGGGAGTATTCACTTTAATATTTTATTTTGTTCTTATGATTTATGATCATGTCTTATTTTATATGTAAAGTGTTAAAACTAGTAATGAGTTGTTGTAGTTAATTTATTCTTGGGAATGAGTTGAATTAAAAAATATGGGTTGACCTTGTTTGACTGAAAATTAGGAGTTTAATTAATGTTATGGACTAGTTGTTTAAAATGATTAATTTGATTACTTAATAGATTTGGTCATTTCATTAATTATTAAATTTTGGAAGATTATTTATAACTTGTCTATGAGATTATAAATTGTTTAAGCCAAACATATTGAACATATTAATGAATCCTAGAGATAGGATAAATTAATGGATAGAATTTAATCTTTGTCTATGAGGAATAAATTCAATTGTTTAATATGAGAAATTTAATTAATTAATGAAGTTGACCATTTTGTTAGCTAAAATGCGGAAAGTTATCTCTATCATGTCTATGAGATTAGAATATAATTTAGGTCAACCATTTTAAACACATTAACGAAGCCTAGCAATAGGATAAATTAGTGAAAGTAACTTAAATCTTGTCAATGAAAAAAGAAATTACTAGTCCAATCTTTAGTTATAAATACTCCTAATTATTAGGTCCAAGCTAAAAGGATGTACCCATATTTTATAATTCAATTCATTGTCCTTCTTTGATCAATCCATTTAGAGTTTAATATTATATTTTTCATTTGTTTTATTTTTGAGTCATCGTTAGTATTTGCATAATTTAATTTACTTTCTTTTTCAAAAAGTAGTTTAGAAAATCAATCAAAAGTTTTAATTTGGAAAGCTTCCAATAATTTGCGATAACCTGTGACTGGACTTAAAATAAAAAAACTCCTCCGTCATTCCTCAAGAAACACGATACTCGGGGAAAAACCGAAAGGTTAGACTCCGTTTTACAACAATGCCGCGTAAGCGGTTATCAAATGGCGTTGTTGCCGGGGAATGACACGGTGAATTCTTGATTTTAATTTTAGCATGGGCGAATTCAAGTTAGGGAGACTTTCTTTTTCTTTTTTTTGTTTTGTTCTCACGTGTTTGCTTGAAGTTTCCTCCTGGATTACTCAAATGAACACTTTCATTCTTAACCACCATATCACTATCCATACCATGAACAAAAAGTTTTCAAAATAATCAAAATGAAGGATACTATGAGCAAGGTTATGATGATAACAATCAATGGTGCGAAAATCCACCTTTGGGGTATGAAGATTACAAATTTCAAGATAATTATTTCCACCAAAGGCAAAACTTGGAAGGCTATGATGATTTTTCCTATCAAGGTAATTATCATGATGATTTTAATTATCAATAAAATTACCACGAAAGGCTAGAAAACCATTACACCAACACAAACGAGTACTCTTACGAGAATGACTTTGGAATTTCACCTTATCCTCAACACGAGCTCGAAGAGTTAAAATCATCCTTACTCGATTGTGTGGAAGACTTAAACAAAACTAGGATTGAATTAGCATCTCTTGACGAGGGTCACACAAAGTTGTTTGAACAAATCATCTATGATAATGAACACAAAGTTCAAGAGGAGGCATACGAGGAAGGAACTACATCCGAGGAGGAGGTTGCGATAACTATGGGCGAGATGGTTGAAACTCTTTGCACCCCTATTTCTTTTGAGTCTCTCATTGCTACTGAGCTAGAGCCTGTCCTTGTAGAAATTAGTCCTGAAGAGCCCAATCTGATAGTGCCCACTGAAGTTGATGAAGAGACCATAGACGAGGAAACACTTTGTGACACCGACCCTACCATACCATCTATGGATGACCTCTCACTTAAAGAGTCTTTGAAAGATAGCCTTGATGAAGATATTGATCCTACACTAGCCCAAGTGCCTGATCAAGTAGTTGATGAAACATGTGATGTTGAGGAAGCATTGTCCGATGATGCCTTCTTTGACTCTCTACTCAATGATGACAAACATAGTTGTGCTAGGCAAGGATCTGTTTGCCTAGATGATATTTGTGGGGTTAGTGAGTTATGCAGTTGGGATGCATTCTTAGAGAGTGACACAGAGCCTAAATTTTGTGATTTTCATGTTGAGAGCATAGATGAAGAAGAGAAAATCCATCAAAAGGAGTATGGAATCTCTAGTCAGACTACTTTTACCTTGATGGCTCCATTTGAACGGTTGGAGAAACCAGAGGCACCTGATCCTGAAATACTTGTTGATTCTACTAATGAGAGTGATGCAGGATATGTGTTAATTCCTTGTTCGAACGACGTGTTCTTTGAAGATTATGTCACATTTTGGTGGTCACGAGAGTTAAAAGGTCTACACCATCTGACTGCATACCTGGAGGATAAGGTGGAGGCCACTAGTAAAAAAATGGCTTATAGTGACATTAAATTAGTGTCACTAAACGATTTAATGACACTTAGAAAGTGTCACAGAAAAGCGGGGTAAGTGACACAAAATTTAGTGTCACCGTTAACAAGTCACTTTTGTGTCACAAAATTATGACATATAAACATCATAGAGAACTATGATATATACATAACAAGGATTTTTGTGATACCAATGCATCATATTTTTTAGTGATATATACATACACTACTAGAAATATGCATTACAGTGACACCAAATTAGTGTCACTAAAAGTTTATGTGACACTAAAAAAGTATCAATGTACATGATTCATTAGTATATATATTTATATATATATTTTATATTAGTATATATATTAATACAAATAAACCAAAACATTAACATTAACCAAAATCTAAAACATTTTATTTATATCTCAAGATTTCATATGAATGTACATGATTCATAAGGGCATACCCCGGAAATCATAAATGTAATTAAGTACAACTCAAAAAACAAAACAAGTTACAATTATAGCTAGAATTGAGAGAAAGCACGGTCTATAGGACATAAAACAATCTTTAAGTGCCAAACCCGACAACGGCATTCTTATGGACGTAATCAACAACATGTGCTCCCTTTTCCCATGGTTTCTTCAAGGCAGCCCTGAGATTTGATTAGCTTTAAAAGCAACACATGTAGAAGCAAGCCTTCAAGAAACATCTGTCCTCGGACATCATATATGAACAAGTGCCATTTTTAGTATATGTACTCTTATTATTTACGGGGAGGAAAAAAGGGGACTTAATCTAAATAAAATAAAATCACAAACTCATACCTTCCTCCATTTTGAGTTCAACAATCGAGTTAAGCTCACTATTCAAGAAAGAATGCAGATAGCTGCACTGCCTTAGATCAGGGAAATCCAGTTCTGGGAAAGTTTTCTGGAAATAATATGGAAGACACACACACATATAGTTATACTAATCAAGTGTTACATTTAAATACACTAATAATAAAACGATTCACGTTATCAGTGTCAATATCCTGCCCATGAGTTACCTGAGAATCAAATACTTGAACACCCCTCATAGGCATCTCATCATCAGCCTTTACTTGATTCATCTATAAGGCAGGGAGGGAGAAAATAAGTATAGAAGTGTAAAAGAAGTTACTCCATATATGAAACATAAAAACATACGTTTGAAGGAAAGGTTTTTGCCTTTTCTTGGAGTTCGTTAACACAGTGATGAAACTTACCTTCTCTGGCATTAATGTCATTATCAAAATTAGAATCATAGACTTTTTGGACCTTTGCACGTTTCTTAACCTTCTCGTCAACGGTGACGTTCTCCCTATAGTAGTCCTTTAGCAAGTCATTCAAACCTATAACCTTTTTCCTGAAAATTATATAGGAATATCAAGACAAAAGTGATATTAAAATAGAAATTTCTCTAAATAGGAGCAAAAACGTTTTGAAATTCCTAAATAGGAGTATCATGTTTTTTATTCCCTTAATAGGAGTAATCTGCCGAGTTTGGAAGAAAATGCCATGTTTTAAAGCTAGTAATGCCAAACTTGCCAGAAATTTACTCCTATTCAAGGAATAAAAAACGTGATACACCATTTTTTTTTGGAATTTCAAAACTTTTTTACTCCTATTTAGGGAATTCTCCCATATTAGAAAGCAGACATGCTTTTTGAAATTGAAACTTGGAAGCCTGATATATCAGATTTTAAGGATTACAAGATGCCATTGAATCGTACGAAATCCAAAATGAAAGAGTAAAAGAAGTTTTATAAAACATGTTTTGTCTATACCCCTGTTTGTTGAACAAGTAAATTAAATGGTTTATTAGAGGACTGGAGTATATTTCATTGAAGGAAGATGTGAAATCAACTTATGAAATGATTTATACTAAACTTGAGAGCCATGATCCATGTAAAAAGCTTCTTGAACTTACCACAAAGTAGTATTCAGTTATAGCCGGATGACAACAGGAATTTGAAATTATCCCTTGTTGCAGGTGATATTCCCTTGCAAGCCTGTAACAGGAATTTGATATAATCAAGAGCAAAAACATAAAGCAATACAAATCAGGGTTTTGTTGGTCGGTTTAGTCGGCAGTCAATCGGCTCTAGGCTCATTTATTCACTTTAATAAAAATTTGATAATCCAGTTTACTTATATATGTAGTATATTATAAAAGCACACTACATGTACTAGAAAGCCAAATGCAAATATTTGGTTTAGGGTCACTCATATTTTAAGCATACTCCAAATTATCTATTCTATAAGACATTTCATCAAAAACTTTACAGACATGACAATTCACCATCTTTTAGCATAGACTAAGAAGAGGGAAATAGTTGTACCACTGGAAGAGGCGCCTAAAGCAGAGGCCAAGGAGACCTCACCAGCACAGCTATGAGCACATATTCAAAATTGAATTGAACACAAATGAGATATCAGCTTGTGCACGTGGTAATATTGGTACTGAGACATTAAGATATGGATGCAGCTCATAACATTAAGATACTGCATTAAGTTTAAAAGGGCTTCTTTAGTTCCTTTATATATCAAAATATAAATTCTAGTTCCTCCCACTGAGACATTTAGAATTTAAAACCAACTGAAATAAAATTAAATTATGAAGAATGCCACCAATTTGAACTTACTCCGGGTTATTATCAATAAAGGTTTCAAGAGTGCTATGAATAGGGTGTCCCAACTTCTCCTCCTCCTCCTCCTCAAGCCCTTTCAAATACAGAATTGCATGCACCCTCTGCCTTATGATCCTGTAATCTTTGGCTAGCTTCTAGATTGTGTACACCCCTGGATTCTCCTTGTGCTTCTTGTACATTTCAGTTTTCTCAGAATCCTTCAAATATGATCCCCTTGCCCCTGGTTCCATAACCTACGTCAAATAAATGCATCTAGGAATGAATGTATTTCCTTCTTTACTAGAAGCAACTTATTCAAATTCTGTTCCAGGAGAAACTACATTCATCTAGCTATAATTCTCCAAAGGGATTCAAAAAAAAAGAATAGGTAAAGTCTCCCACAGTAATTCAGTAACAAAAGAAGCATGAAATGTACGATAAGCAATCACCTGCTTCATCAATGTCGCAATGTCTCTGAACCTCCATCTCATCCTTTCACAAACTCCTTGGACTTGCGGTTCTCCTCCTCCAGACGCCTCAGTGTGTCCATTTCATCTTCTGTCATTCTGGCCGAGCTAAACCCGGGTTCCGAGCGTGTAGTGTTCGATTGCAACTGTTTCCCCACAACCTCCCCATCAAAATGCTCCTTTGTTAAGCCGATCGACCAGGACGACTCGGTGTCCCACCCGAGTATCCAAATCAGAGCAGTTGACACTCGGGAAACCTTTGAACCGCCCGTGCTTGGCTTCAATTTTGTGTAAATCGACGTCGGAGAATGGGTTTGGTTGAAATTGCAGACGTTGTCCGGGGTTGGAATCTCTTACCGCCGCTGCAAAGCTCAGCCGCGAAGTGCCGTCCTCTATCCGGAGCCCCTCCGCCGGCGGCATCAGAATACTGCACAGGCGTCGGGAGATGGACATTCGACGAAGCTTAGAGGAAGAGGGAGCTTCTGAGGTTGAGAGTGATGAGAGTGAGCTGCGCTCTAGGTTAAGGGTTAGGGTTAAAATTTATAAAATAAACCTCATTTCAAAAAAAATATTTTAACAAATTATGAATATGACCCTGTTTTTTCACCTTGAGTGTCACTATTAAATGGTGATGTTATTGTGTCAGAAATTAGTGATACTTATGTGTAAACTTTCAGTTATGTAGTCAGATTTTGACACTAAATCGAATAGTGTCACTAACGAAGTGTCACTGTAAGGCAGTTTTGTAATAGTGGGCATTAGTGATGAGTGCTCCACAATTGATTTGCATTACAGAGAGTTCTCTCTCAAACGTCAAGCTAGTGACGTTAAAGAAGCGCTTCTTGGGAGGTAACCCATGTTTTTCATATTTTTGTTTGTTTGTTTTGTGTGATTGCAGGTTGTGCTTCAATAAATAAATTGTGAGTTGAACGCTTTAACCCGATTTCAAAAAAACTGACTATGGATGATGTAAGGATATTTTTAAACAATTTTATTCCCGTTTTCATCATTCCTCTTCACAAAATCTTTTCAAAACTCAAGTGTGAGGAAAGAACAAAAAAAAGTGCCTTTATTTCAAAACTTTGTGCATTAAAAAGAGACCTCGAGGGCGAGGTCCAACTTAATTAAGTGTGAGGAGGTTGCGTTTTTACACCCAAAAGTTAAAACCTTGTTTTAGAACAATCTTTTTACTATTTTTGATATGAAACATTAATTTCTCAAATTGTTATCAATCACGTAATAGCTTAGAGAATCACTCTTATTATAAGAATTTACTTTTATTATTATTTTTAGAAAACTTGAAATTGTTATGGTTTTTTGGTTGCGAATGTAAAGGGCTGAATTTGTTTGATTGGACGTTCATTTTATTCATCAAAAAAATGTTATTATTAATAAAAACTCTTCAAAACTCTTTGTTATAGGACAATTCCATCTCCGAAAAGGGGCTATGTTTCATTCGTTAATCATAGTCTGTGAGAATGAAGTATGCACTTACCATGGGATAACACCGCCAACAAGAGTGAAAAAGATGCAAAAAAAAAAATAATGAACAAAATGAATGTCCAAATTAGAATAATGAAAACCTTGGATAAGGAATTGATTGGTGGTTTAACATAATCAATAGTTTTTTTAAGTGATAATAATTTTAAATTCTTGTACATTGGGTGATTTTTTCTAAAATGTTTAAAAATTGAAAATAAAAGAAGAGGGTTTTGTTTCTATTTCTTTAATAGCAACTCGATTGTAATGCAGTCAGGTTTTACCTTTTTGAGTGTGTTTGCAACTGATTTGTCACTTGAAGACAAACAACGCTTAACTGTGAGGAGATTGATAAGTCCATTTTGTACTTACTTTTCTTATCAAATTTAAGCGATTTTTGGATTGAAAATATAAAAACAAGGCATGTTTTATATATTTCGGTTCAAGTTTCATGAAATAGGGTAAAAATCACATTCATAACATGTTTGACGAAATTTCGAGTCAATTGCGTGAAGAAAGTGGTATTTTTTGCCAACAAATGAATTGCTAAGGAAGTTTGAAAGATATGTTGACCAATTGTTCAATGAGAAGAGTCCAAGACAGGAAGAAATCATGCAAGGAAGCTCAAAAACCAAGAAGAGGTACCTATATGGCCACTTTTGATGAAAATGGACGATGCATAAAGACACATGTTCGTATTTTGATCATAACATGGCGCATGATTTCCCAAAGTTTGTGAATCCAGATGAACTACATTGAAATCTTCTTGCTCTACAACTCTTATGAAGAACACATAACCAAATAATAATCGTAGAATGGACATATTGCTCAAAGAAGTCAGACATTTGCAGTTGCGATGGAAAGTGACACGTGCTCACCGTTTTGGTCATATCTCATAAACTACAAATTATGTGCATGTAATTCAAATTCCATTAGTTAGACAAGAAAGAGAGATAAAACTTTGGTGAAGACAACTTTTCCATTTGACGTGACGCGGTCGATAAGGCAGCCGTCTTTCTGGGTGCCTACAAGTTTTTGACGGTTTCAGCACACAACATGACGACGAAATAATGGAATTGAAGGCTGCCGACGGGGGACGGAGGGCGGCTGCCCTCCGTGGCCTCCTGCAGCGGGATGTGATTTTTTAGCTTCTGGTCTTTGAGACAAGACGGGAGGCGGCCAAAAGGGCGACCGCCCTCCATGGGCACCTGCAGCGGATTTGACGCGTACACGTAGCTTTGTCGGAGAAGTGACCGAAGGCTGCCGACCATGGCCGGAGGGCGGGCGCCATTTGGGCCGCCTTCCACGAAACTCTGTCTATAAAAGATCTCTTCCATCACCAACTCAAAACACACTATCTCACACCCAACTCAGATAAAAAATGGTGTTTTCTTCCTCCTCAAAGCTCGGATTTCCACCATTGTTGGACCTTCAACTTCAATCTTTCACATCTTTCTCATTTTAGCTCCAATTTGTAAGTTCTTTATATGAAAATTCATCTTCTCGTCGTGTAGATTCTGAATATGTTGTTTTTATTTACCAAATGTTGGTGAAACATTCTCTTAATTAAATTTAAGAATTTCGTATTTTCCATATTTATTCAAGAAAAATAGTTTTGTTGTTATATTAATCTCCTACTTAGATAAACTCAATACCTAGTATAAATGATGTTTATTTGTGACAGAAACAAAAGTTTAGATGTTGGGAGTATTTACTTTAATATTTTATTTTGTAAAGTGTTAAAACTAGTAATGAGTTGTTGTAGTTAATTTATTCTTGGAATGAGTTGAATTAAAAAATATGGGTCGACCTTGTTTGACTGAAAATCAGGAGTTTAAATAATGTTTTGGACTAGTTGTTTAAAATGATTAATTTGATTACTTAATAGATTTCGTCATTTCATTAATTAAACTTTGGAAGATTAAATATAACTTGTCTATGAGATTATAAATAGTTTAAGCCAAACACATTGAGCACATTAATGAAGCCTAGAGATATGATAAATTAATGGATAGAATTTAATCTTTGTCTATGAGGAATAAATTCAATTATTTAATATGAGAAATTTAATCAATTAATGAAGTTGACCATTTTGTTAGCTAAAATGCGGAAAGTTATATCTATTTTGTCTATGAGATTAGAATATAATTTGGGCCAACCATTTTAAACACATTAATGAAGCCTAGCAATAGGATAAATTAGTGAAAGTAACTTAAATCTTGTCAATGAGAAAAGAAATTACTAGTTCAATCTTTTGTTATAAATACTCCTAATTATTAGGTCCAAGCTAAAAGCATGTACCCATATTTTATAATTCAATTCATTGCCCTTCTTTCATCAATCCATTTAGAGTTTAATATTATATTTTTCATTTAGTTTATTTTTCTTAGGATGTTTTGACTTGGACCGTAATTTTCTGGTCTGGTCTGTTTTGGTCTGGTCTGGTCTGGTCTGGTTTGATCTGATCTGGTCTGAAATTTTATTTTTATATTTTTTGCATGAAGATTTTATTATATATATATATATTATAATCCATAAATAATTATATTTTATTCATTTATAATTACAAATAACAATAACAACAACAACAATAATAATAATAATAATAATAATAATAATTAGGGGTGTGCACTATCCGGTTTAAACCACAAAACCGGACCAGAAAAACTGGAACCAGATCGAACCGGAATGATATTCGGTCCGGTTCGGTACGGTCCGATCCGGTTTTGAACCGGTGCACACCCCTAATAATAATAATAATAATAATAATAATAATAATAATAATTAGGGGTGTGCACTAGCCGGTTTAAATCGGAAAATCGGACCGAACCGGACCGAAAAAACTGGAACCGGATCAAACCAGAATGATATCCGGTCCAGTTCGGTACGGTCCGGTCCAGTTTTGAACTGATGCACACCCCTAATAATAATAATAATAATAATAATGATAATAATAATAATATCAATAACAACAACAACAACAACAACAACAATAATAATAATAATAATAATAATAATAATTAGGGTGTGCACTATCCGGTTTAAACCGGAAAACCGGACCGAACCGGATCAGAAAAACCGGAACCGGATCGAACCAGAATGATATCCGGTCCGGTTCGGTACGGTCCGGTCCGGTTTTGAACTGGTGCACACCCCTAATAATAATAATAATAATAATAATAATAATAATAATAATAATAATAATAATAATAATAATTAGGGTGTGCACTATCCGGTTTAAACCGGAAAACCGGACCAAACCAGACCGGAAAAACCGGAACCGGATCGAACCGGAATGATATCCGGTCTGGTTCGATTCGATCAGGTCTGGTTTTGAACCAATGCACACCCCTAATAATAATAATAATAATAATAATAATAATAATAATAATAATAAGGGTGTGCACTATCCGGTTTAAACTAGAAAACTGGACCGAACCGGACCGGAAAAATTGGAACCGGATCGAACCGGAATGATATCCGGTCGGTCGGTACGGTCCGGTCCGGTTTTGAACCGGTGCACACCCCTAATAATAATAATAATAATAATAATAATAATAATAATAATAATAATAATAAAATATGACCTGGTCTTGTCTGGTCTGTTTTAGTCTGGTCTGGTCTGGTCTGATCTGGGACGAATTACAGTCCAAGTAAAAACAACCTTAACTTTCTTACTACGTAATACTAGTATTTAAGAATTTAACAGTGACTTTTAATGTATGAAGTAATTGATTTATGTATTGAACTTTACTTTTAAAATAAAACAAAAAATGTTTTCTTTATATTTCCAAGAGCCCATTTTTGTGACATGCTCCGGGTCTTCAAAATGGTAGGACCGGGCCTACTTCACAGCCAATAATTGGACAATTACTATGGCCAAAAATTGAGAGTGAAGAGATCTTACTTCCGGTGCCCATAAAATGAGTGGCACGCCCAAAAAAGAATAAGGGAAGAAACATAACCTCCATCCTCTTGTTCACAACCCCCAAGACAAGTAAGATTAATTCATTTTTTTCTTCAAATGGAAAGTGATTTTTATTAGAATTATAAAGGTTATATT